GGCGGAAAAAATTGAAAATAAACTCATGAACACGTAATAGCGTTAAAAAAATTGTTTTTTTGTTTGTTTTTTTAAAAATAGAAATAAAAATATATAAGCATATTGAAATTGTTTTTTTTTTAAAAATAATATAAAATGTCGAGAAGTGCCTTACGTGCAATAGTCGTTTAAATGTTCTGGAAATCTCACCCTTCTTCCAGAACGTGTCATTTTAAGTTTATTTTCGGATACTGTCGAAGTTTCGTCGAGTGTGTTGGTTGTCGGATGAGGTATTATAAGTGTCGGAGTCGTGTCGTCTGATTGTACCGAAGGAAGATCCACGTAGATAGGATTTCCTTCTAAATACGCTGCTTTTAAGCGATCGATGCTGATGCTATCGTTGGTTCCGTTCTTATCGACTATATAGTACTTAGATTCACGTTGAAGAACTTTGAAGGGTCCTTCGTATGCTGAGTCGAATGGTCGTCGATGCGTGTCTCGACGAACGAAAACGTGTGTACTATATCGTAAGTCAGGTTGAACGAAAACATCAGTTGATTGAGGTCGAGTGGAAGCGGGTTTAACTGAACGCATTGCGTTTGTAAGCCTGTTCATGTAGGAGGTTAGATCCATGTTCATTGAAGAGGATGAAGGATCCACGAATTCTCCTGGAAGTCGAAGTGTCGTTCCATAAACGAGTTGAGCCGCAGTGTATCCAATGTCAGCTTTTACTGCATTGCGGATACCTAGTAAGACAAGTGGAAGAGCGTCAGTCCACTGTGAAACGTTTGCAGCTGATAGAGAATCTTTTAGTTGTCGGTGAAAACGTTCTACCAACCCGTTTGCTTGTGGATGGTAAGCGGTCGTTCGGAAGCGAGTGATTCTTAAAAGTGTGGTCAGACGACGGAAAAGTTCAAATTCAAACTGACGTCCGCGGTCTGTCGTGATGGTTGAAGGGCAGCCGAAGTTTGCTACCCATCTTTCGACGAAGGTGCGGGCCACTGTTTCAGCAGTGATGTCCTTGATAGGTACTGCTTCTGGCCATCGAGTGAAACGGTCTACGCAGGTTAAGAGATAAGAGTATCCATTTGAATCTGGTAAAGGTCCTACCAAATCCAAATGAACATGGTCGAAACGAGCATCGGGAGTTTTAAACGAGCCTAAGGGACATTTATTGTGTATGATAACCTTAGATTTTTGGCAGCTTACACAGGAGCGTGCCCACTCCCTCACGTCTTTATTCATTCCAGGCCAGCAAAACCTTTCTGCTATAAGCTTGATGGTTGCACGAACACCTGGATGCGAAAGTTTGTGCAATGTGTTGAAGACATTGCGTCGATAATGTTTCGGCACGATTGGGCGATCCCTACCTGTAGATGTGTCACAAAGTAAGGTTTCCTTACCTGTTCCCATCTGTTTGATGCGTAGTTTAAGTGTTGTGGACGATAACTCGTGCTGAAGATCACTGTCTTCTTTTTGAAGCTCGGCGAGTTTAAGAAGGTCGATTCCTTGGAAACTGTTCAAGGAAGTTATACGAGATAAAGCGTCTGCGACTACATTGTTTGCTCCAGAAATATGTTGAATATCTGAAGTAAACTGCGAAATGTAGTTCAGTTGTCGAGACTCACGGGGAGAGTACTTGTCAGAAGGAGAGCTTAACGAGAAAGTGAGCGGTTTATGGTCCGTGAAAAGAGTGAATTCACGACCTTCGATGTAGTGTTGGAAATGCCGTACGGCACAATACATAGCTAGGAGTTCCCTACCGAATGTGCTGTACCTCGATTCGGTGTCTAGCAACCTTCTAGAGAAAAATGCCAAGGGTTGCCAGGAGTTGTTAACCCATTGTTGTAAGACTCCTCCGATTGCTGAGTCGGATGCGTCTACTGCGATGCTAATGGGTGCTCGGGTGTCCTGATGTGCGAGCATTGTTGCTTTAGCAATCAGTTCCTTAACTGTGGAGAATGCTTTTCGTGCGGTGTCGTCCAAATTAATGGATTTCGCATTTCCACGAAGTTGGTCGGTCAGAGGTTTCATAAGTAATGCGCATTTCGGTATGAAACGTCTATAGAAACTTACGAGGCCGTTGAACATGCGTAATTGCTTGACGGTGGTCGGTTCTGGGTAATCCAGAATGGCCCCCACTTTGGTCCTAAGAGGCCGAATGCCTTGAGCATCGATAGTGTGTCCCAGAAAGTCTAACGAGTCGTTTCCGAATTGGCATTTCTGAACGTTTACAGTAATGCCATGTCTTTGCAATCGTTCGAAAACAAGATCCAGATGCTTGAGATGTGTTTCTCTGTCCGGACTTGCGATTAGACAGTCATCAACATACGCGTGTACGAAGTTGAGACCTCGGCGAACGTCGTCTATGAATCTTTGGAATGTTTGAGCAGCATTCCTTAGGCCGAAAGGCATTCGCGAAAATTCATAGAGTCCGAAAGGAGTTATGATAGCTGTTTTCGGTATGTCGTCAGTAGCCATAGGGATTTGGTTATACGCTTTAACCAAGTCGATTTTCGAAAAGACAGTTGTACCTTTCAAGGTAGCTGTCAAATCGTGAATGTGAGGCAACGGGTAACGATCGGGAATGGTTTTCGCGTTCAATCGCCGATAGTCACCAGTTGGACGCCAATCGTTGCTGTCCTTTTTAGGGACCATGTGCAACGGAGATGCATATGGGCTACTTGACGGTCGTATGATTCCTAAGTCCATCATGTGATCGAATTCGTTTTTCGCTAACCTTAGCTTTTCAGGAGCTAGTCGGCGTGCTTTAGAGAATACAGGTGGTCCTGTAGTCGTGATGTGATGTGTAACGTTGCTGGTTACACACGGTAGTTTCGGTTGAGTTTGTTGTATCCCAGGGTACTTATCTAGTAGTGGTTGATAGAGTGTGTCTATCATATGCTTAACTGTGACTGGGGATACTCTGCAACCAGTAAAAGAAGTTACGCAAACGGACAAATTAGTGTTTCCGTCTACTAGCCTCCGTTTGCGAGTGTCGATGATCAGATTGTGTTGTAGAAGGTCCATACCAATGATTGGCATAGAAACATCTGCAACAACGAAAATCCAGTGGATGGGTTTGCGTAAACCCACGTTAAGGTAAACGTACCTTTTGCCATACGTAGTGATCGGTTTTCCGTTTGCCGCCTGTAAGTTTAGAGCCGATTCTTGAAGCCGATCGTTGGGATTCGCTGGGAGAACGCTAACTTCTGCGACAGTATCGACGAGGTAGCGAACTCTCGTTGTCACATCTGTGACGTATAACAGACGGCTATGTTCGCCGGCTACGGTTGCCGTTAACGCGTGCCGGCTTGGAAGTTTCCCGAATTGTTTTTCGAATCAGTCGGTTTCGTGTTGGGAAAATTGCAGGGTTTTCTGCAATTTCTGGAAAACTTTCCATACTGGTTATGATACCAGCACCAGTCGGGGTTATCCGTCTCTCGTGGTCTAGAGACAGATCGCTTACGAGAAATGCTTCTACGTGGTGTGTGCGATCTCTTACGGTCGGTACGAAGACTAAGATAACGCGTGAGTGTGTGACATAAGTCGGTTATATCATTCTGAGTCGTGTGAGGCTTTTCTTTGACTGAAAATACCTCGGTAGTAGATTTCGTAATTTCTAGAATGCGGTCGGCAGATGCAGCTAGCTCGTCTAAACCGTTGTTCTGGAACGAGACCAGAACTGCTTGCACCTGTTGGGGAAGTTTTGACAAGAAGAGTTGTTTGAATAGACCTTCGTCGAAAGTTCTTAAGCCTATAAACTCTCTCATCCGTTGCAACATGTCTGTCGCAGAATCGTGTTGCAGGTCGATATTATTGAAGAGTTGATCTAACCTTTGTCGATCGGTTAGATCTCCTCGTTTAAGAATCGAGCGTTTTAAGATTTCGTAAGGGTCGGAAACATCACTAGTAAACATACTAGGTGTTACATACCTGTTGAATTCGCGCGGTAGTGCCTTGACTACTGCGAGGAATTGTGCACGTGTGTCGATCACGCCGTGCTCGTGGAAGTCGGCTTCTGCGTAGCAAAACCAGGCTTCGATGTTGTCGGGCCAGAAAGGCGTCAGTTGAAACGAAGGTGGGGACAAAGTCTTAAGCTTGAGTACTTTAGGTGTCTGTTCAGTCATGATGAAATATAAAGTACGATAATGAACGAGGGGAAAATATATAGATCCAAGAAAAAGCACGAAAAAAATCACAATGTTTAAAAAAAAATAAAAAATAAGGCAATGATATATAAAAATCCCAAAACAGAACAGACTCACAGTTGCAATAAGGTGTACCGGATCACATCGGTCTCACCAATGATGATGTCACAAGTATTCAGTGTTTGACAACACTTCTACCAGTAACACCTTCTAATGTATTTCGTTTCCACCCAGAGAAATCAAAAGACAGAGTCGAGGAGATCGGAAGAGTATATTTGACGATGACCAATATATCGGAATTCTCTGATCTAATCTGGCTAGCGATTGCGATTGATGTTGAGCACAGCGTTACCACACGTGATCTGGTGCGGATGCCTGACCGAGCGCCTTCAGCTAGATGAGTCCACTAAAACATATGGTCAGCATCCAATGTCGAAAACTTACAGAGCTATTTATTTTAGGGATTTATTTACCGCTACAGTGGTATTCAGGTTTTCGCATTGAGTCATAAACTCTTGGAACCTTCTAGTCGGGGAAGTAGTGTTCACACTTTCACTTGACACATTCAGTAGGACAAGGCTCAGAGAGACCTACTAAAAGGGAATAGCACAGTCCGTTGGTCTTTTATCTTCAATACACAAATATGAATCTGAAAAATCAAAGACTCAACTCAAAACTAATCAATCTCCAGCCACATTCCCGGTTTGATTAAACGTATTTGGCAACGTGAGTCTATCATCCTGCTAAAATTTGCCAAAGAAGTGCTCTTTTACATCATGTATAAATCAAAACGTACTAGTCCAATTCATCACAAGGATTTTTGGATATTGGACAGCGCGTACTAAGACTATGTGCGTATCAACCTAAAAGATGTTCGGACGAGGGAAAAGTAGTCTCTCGAAGCCAAAAAAGGTTCATTCTCTTGAAAATTTGAAGTTAGTTCTAGTCGTTCCGGATTTTTCAATGTCTTTCAATGATGTATTCATTACTTTGTTGTTCATTTATATACGTCTAGGTAATTTCGTGTGAAGTATAATGCGCGGCAAAGTAGTCTCCAACTAGTTACCACAGATCCATTTTTTTGTCAAAAATCCGTGTATGACTCATCTCTCTCCCTCAAACAGGAAGATTAAATAGAAATCGGAGCATAATTCCTACCTTACTGTTATGTATAGCTTGCATTTGACCTGCATTCTTACTTAGTCAAGGTCTTTCTGAGTATTGTTGGCGTTGTAATTTAGACTCTCAAAGACTTTCAGCGTTGAAGTTGCTTCATTTCGTGACGTTCGTGGAGTATTTGTCCACAAATACTATGGGAACTATCGTAAATACTTCATTATGGTGTTTGTGATTTTCTAAGCAGCCGAGGGGTATACTGCTTTTTATCCCCAATGAGTGAATGCCTTTAGCAAATATAGCCTCTCGAGGCATCCAAAATTGATTAAATATTTGACTAAACATAAGTTATGTATAACCATATTATACATTTAAAACTTAAGTTTTTTCAGCGGTAGATTATTGATCTTATCGAGGGTGTATCCTCGTCGACCAAAGTTAGTTCGGTTATCGTTGTCATACAGTTTTAGCAATATAGCATAGTGTAGCTTCATCATTCTTCTGTGTAATCTGGGATCAGAGGCTAAGATATTCGTCACAAGTTTTCGTATGGCCCGCTGCACATAGGACAGAATAATTCAGTTTGAACTAACTAGTAATACCCAGTTAGTTTATCTTCATCTCCTGAATGGGGTCATGGATATTTCTCAACACAGTGGTGAAAGACACCATCGTAGGTGACAAGGAAAAGGAGTCTGTATCTGTGTTACTGTAATATTTTGTCGTGTTGCTTATGAACAGTAAGGTATATTGCTACTGGATGAGATGTATCTTGGTCCCGCTAATTTTCGAATGGTTGCTCTGCAGCTAAACTCGTTTCCTTTGTATTACATGGTTTTTGGGTTGTTTCCACCCTCAATATCTTTATTTCGCTTTAAGCAACTCATATCTTGGTGTCTTATTGCACCAAGTTTGTTCTGTTATAAATAAATAACATAGAATTGTATTGAATTTATCTTCGAAGTCAGGATGAAAGCGGAAATCTAAACTTTCCAGTTACAGTGAAAAATTCTACTGTTCTGTTCTAAAATGCTACGTGTCAACTATGTTTCCTATGTTAACATGGGACTTCATTAAAAGTGATATTCTTAATCAGTGAGTTTTCTCATTCGATCGCCTGTTGAACATCCTATTATATTCATGCATGGGGCTGATATACGAGTTTGGAACAGTTTGGGCTAGATTTATTCCCGTTTTTGGAAATTAGATGAAGGATGGTCCATCTGTGTTAATTTGGTTCTTGCGAGTTCACCGAGTTTCAGAACAGGTTCCAGGTAGGTGTACAAAGCACGTTTCTGAACTACCTCGGGGTTGATGGACGTACTTCACTGAAGTCTCCCGAACTGCTCGAAAACCGGGTTTACCAATTTCCCAGTAACAAACCAGGAGTTAAATATGTTATACGGGAACTTTCATCTCTGAGGTATTTAAATATCAGAGTTCTCGATGTACTTGTTCAGTTCAGTCGTGTAAAGTGGCGTTTTAGGGACTGGGTCCTTTCCAGGCTGATTCATTGCTATCCATTAGGACATAATAAAGTAGGCTACCTGGTTTTTGGGTTCATTTGTTCTATGTGTCATATGTTTCATGGTTTTATTATGAGTTTTGACGCAAGGTTGATAAAAAAGGATCCTACATTTTTACGCACTATATGTCCAACTAATATCTCACTTGATTGATCCCATCCCTATCTACTTCGTGTTGGGAAACCGGATGATATCAATAGCTGTTACAAAAAAAAATTATAACATGATACTTAGTAGATGAAGCCATATATAGTACGTGAGCTCCACTCAAGAAGTTGTAACTTTGTGGTGGTGGGTAGCGAAAGCAAGAGAGATGGAAAAGGCAGCGGCAATAGGTAATAGCAGACAATTGTTCAGAATTGTTAAGGATACCGGTATTAGAAAACCGACTGTTAGCGAAACACTCTCAGAGAAAGATGGACATATTATACATTCTCAATCCAGGAGATTTGGCAGAACACTTTAGTGATCAGTTCAACTGGCCTTCAGCCACACTTCGGTTTCCCACGATCTCCAGTCAACCTGAATGGCAAGTTAGTGTAGGTCCTCCGACTCTTTATGAAGTTGAAAAAGCTATAGGAAATCTGAAGGGTGGGAGAGCAGCAGGCCCTGACAGGTTTACTCCTGAGATTTTTAAGGATGGTGGTCCAGTATTAGCAGTGAGATTAACTGAGGTCTTAGGTAGCATCTGGGAACTGGACGTAATCCCATCTGACTGGTCTCAATCACTGATTGTGACAATCACAGAGGAATCAGTTTGACTAATATAGTGTCTAAAATATTAGCTTCAATAATACTTCGACGCTTAACCAAAGCTCGTGAAGAACAGACTAGAGAAAATCAGGCTGGTTTTCGACCTGGACGTGGTTGTATAGATCAGATATTCACAGTACGTCAGGTTCTAGAACACGGACACACGTTCAGACGCCCCACAATCGTAGTATTTCTCGACCTTAAAGCAGCATTCGACTCTGTCGATCGTAAGGTTCTATGGCAGTGTTTGTCACTGAAAGAAGTACCAAAGAAGTACATTAACCTTATACAGGCTCTCTACTCGAACACAACTGGTAGAGTGAGAGCTTATGGCGAACTGTCATCAGAATTGATTACCTCAAGTGGTGTTCGTCAGGGCTGCCCACTCTCTCCATTCTTGTTCAACTTTGTCGTTGAAGTACTATAAGAGATAACACTTTCCTCGTCTAGATTTCCGGGAGTTGAACTTCTACCGGGAGGTTCACTTGTTGACTTAGAATATGCTGATGACATAGTTTTATTTGGTGAAGACGCTGACAAAATGCAGAGTCTTCTGACCACTGTAAGCAACAATGCAAGCATGTTCGGGATGCGATTCTCCCCCTCGAAATGTAAAATGTTGCTTCAGGATTGGGTTGCATTGACACCCGAACTAATTATAGGGAGTGAAGTAATTGAGCGTGTCGATCGCTTCGCTTATCTTGGAAGTCTCATCAGCCCTTGTGGTCTGGTGTGTGACGAAATCTCAGCACGGATACAGAAGGCTCGACTAGCTTTTGCCAACTTGCGTCATTTATGGCGTAGGCGAGATATCCGTCTGTCAACCAAAGGACGTGTTTACTGTGCAGTAGTTCGTTCCGTCCTACTTTATGGCAGTGAAACATGGCCGGTAAGAGTAGAGGATATTCGTAGGTTACTAGTATTTGATCATAGGTGTCTTTGAAATATCGCTCGTATATCCTGGGACAATCGAGTAAGTAACGCAGTTGTTAGGAAACGGGTACTAGGTAAGGATGGCAAATCAATTGATGAAGTAGTGAAACTTCATCAGTTGAGATGGCTGGGACACGTGTTACGTATGCCTAATGACCGACTGCCTCGACATGCGATGTTTTATGATGTAGAAGTAGGTTGGAAGAAAGCTAGGGGTGGCCAGACCACAACATGGCACAAATCCATGAAGTCACTGACAAGTGGACTGAGTCATGTTGGTAGGTGTAGACTATCTGGTTGGGGACCGCGAGATGATAGCAACCGATGGTTAGAGACCCTGAATGACATGGCTCAAAATCGTTTGCAATGGCGCAGGTGCATCCACTCTCTGTGTTCTCCCAAATTCTAATCTTCTGAATTCTTCATGTCCCTTTTTTTCCTCTTTCCAAATTTATTTCACTGGATTATACTCTTTAAATAACATCTCCAAACCCTAATCTTCCCGATTACTGCTTATACTCTTATTACCTCTACCACTACGGGATTTGAATCGGCAACTGCATCTGTGTGCTAATGTGGTGTGGCAACTCGAACTGATGTACGTACGTACGAAGTTCTACGTTGTTACTGACTGACTGACTGTAACTTTGTGGTTAAAGGACCCAGTTTTTTGCCATTGATTTGCAAGTTGAAAACCCCACTACTTTATATATATATATACTTTATATCAAATTATGACAACCCTTGCAAGTCAGTCAGTCAGTCGTTGTAGCTGACTGACTGACTTGCAAATAAATCATATTTCTGTAAGTCACTTGTTGACCACATGTTTCTTACGTAAAGTGAAATGTTTGTTTTTCATAGAATTCGTACCCTAGTTGAATACATATTTTTTGCTAGTTTTTTGAATTCCAGTTAACTGTTTCTTCTCAGTAATTCGATCAAAGTTGACCAAGACTCAGAGTTTGATTTATCCTCTATTTCCATAGATATCTTCACTCAGTGTTACAAAAGAATCGAGCTGTTAATGAACAAAACTATGGGATACTAGTTGAAGCTCTTCGATTAATTGCAGAAATTTTAATCTGGGGTGATCAAAATGATAGTTCAGTCATGGAGTAACTTTCTGATTCATTTAAAAAATATTATTTAGCTTTTTTCTTGAAAAGAATATTCTGGAGTACTTTTTGCAGTATATGAAACAAGATTTAAGTCGAAGAATATGTGTTCAGTTACTACAAACTTTAAATATCTTATTTGAAAATATAACAAATCAAACAGCTATCTGTAAGTATTCATTTGCCTTATTTGAACTTTCTTTTCAGATTACCTTCTGTCAAACAATCATACAAATGCTATCATTACGCATCGTTTTGATTTCACCGACGAAGAAGTAGATCCACATAGCTATTTGTCAACCCTTTTCTATTTCTCTCTCTTAGGTGATGGCTTATTATATTTCATTTCTAAAAATATTATCCTTTCGTCTCAACGTAAATACCATCAGCTTTTTCTACATTGAGGTAATGCTGTTTTAAAAATGCATTTAAAAACTGTTCATTATCATTATTATATTTTAGTCTCGTCGAGAGTTTAATTTATATGTTGAAGCGATTAAATTGTTCGCTCACCCGGAGGGTATGGTTCGTATTGCTGTACGTACTATCACTCTAAATGTACATAAAGGTAGGATTTATCATAATTAGTTGTTTATCGTTTTGTTTTGATTCATTTTTAACCAATGTGTTCTTTGTTGTTAATAGTTAAAGATGAAGCTGCTTTGGAGTTTATTCACCATCAGACTTCATTAATTTACTTCTCACATCTTGTGTGGTCAATAGGTAATACAATATTAGATATTGATTGTCATAAGTAAGTAGTATTTTTTCATCGTATATAATACATATAACACTTACTGTTCCACATGTTTTTTCCCTTCTTTTCATATATTCGCTAAGTTGATTAAAATAGACCAGTCAGTTGTAAAGACGTCTAGTACGTCGTTCTGCTGTGTATAATATTGAGTTAATAGGATATGTGACGAGAAAGGAAAAGAGAGGGAAGTCCAATGACTAGGATATAATTTATCGGGAATGAGTTTTATATAACAAAGTGTAGATTTTCTCAGGTTGTTAGAGTATTAGGAACTTGTGGTTATGGACGCCCAGTATGCAGATGAATTCGTTTTATTTGAGTGAAAATGTTAAATCAATTATTATCGTATATGTACTTTTTAGTTTTTTGTTGCGTCTTTATCTAGATGTATTTTAATTTCAACCCCACTTTTATGCTCTTATGAATCAGTTTGTTAATATTTTAAAGTTACATGATTTCTAGATCATTGCGATATTGGAGATCAATTCAGATTTTTCAGGACTATATATAGACTTGAATTTTTCAATAGTTATATTTACAATTTAGTAGTAGTTCTGAAAATTCTATACTTTATCAGGTAGATGATTAGATTGAAATCGTCAATAAAACGTGAACAATATTTGCAGAACGAAATGAATTTATTATATTTCGAGGCTTCGCACCAGCTGCGAATGGTCTGAATTCACAATCGAAATATTACCGTATAAATACTAATCAACCTTAATTATTATGTTAAATATATTGTTTCCTCTTGTTTAAGGCGTTTCAAATTAAATTTCATTGATTATGGTATGCAATAACAATTTTATAATAATATTTCGATTGTAAACTTAGGCCGTTTGCAACTGGTGAGGAGCCTTGAAATATAATGAATTCACTCTATTCTGGAAATATTGTCCTCGCTTTTTCTTAAGCCTATCAAGGGGTCAGGATGTATAAAAGATTGAAATCTACTATGTTTAATAATTTTCTAGTTGATTTTGGTTCTCTTTAGTTCTGTCGCAGAGATTTTAATGGCCTATTCCTTAACCCTATTTCGCCTAATTCAGTTCTAACGGCCTGGTAGTATCATTAGTTTTCACCAATAGAAATTGACTGCGCTTAGAACATGAATTTGTACTTGATTTTTGAGTTGTATTACAGTAATTAAAATGGAACGTTCAGCAAATTTATACTTATAATCAGAAAGGGGTTTTGTGGAGTTCAACGGGGTCTGTTGTGAGATAGTAACAACTCACTGGAGACGGTGGTGTGATTCCGTGGATTGGTTGGAGTTAGACATTAACACCGTTGGATGCCGGCTCAGTGGTCTAGAGGTTAATCGTTCGCACGCTTGACCGGTAGGTCCTAGGTTGAAATCCCGCGAGTGGAATCGTGGATGTGCACTGCTGAGTCCCATACTAGGACAAAACGGCCGTCTAGTGTTTCCAGGCTGTCATGGTGGTCTGGCTTTAATTGACTCATGAATTCAACTATTAAGTTTATAATTATTAACGAAAACACTGAAAATTTAAATTTAGTGGCACTTTAATTTCTTGTGGACGCTTAACACTAAATAAACTGTACTACAGTGTTATATCACGTTCCGTTCGTTGTTTAATATAATTTAGTTCGTATTGGGGATTAAGGCATGATTTATATATTTACTGTCCAATTTTTAATTCGCTTAAACTAGAATGATCTTTAAGGTTATGAAAAAATAAGTTACGTTTGGGATTTAACCAGTAACCCTCACTTTTGTAACTGAAAGCATTATTCATTAGGCCAATAAGTTACGTTGATTGCTTTTCATCAAATATGCAGTAGGTTGATATTACTACTCAAGCAGCTTGTTGACTGAAGTTGTTGAAAACTTTTGGGATATATGTTTGTGCACATTCTTCATGTTGTGGCTTAAGATCATTGGTCGATATCACGCGTTAAAACTACTACTCAGAATTTTAACTCCGACTTTTATTTATGACGCGTCTACTATTTTTTCCACGTCCTGGTGTCCTAAACTTGTCCACTTACACATCTGATCAGCGCCGTCAACCTTGGGTCGACGCAGAGTAAGTCCCGATTGGTCTGCTATACTCAAGCCTTCTCTATCCCTTGCCTCAAATCCAAGGAGAAGTCAACAGTCAGCTTCTGTAATTATTCCAAACATACATGGGTTTTTATATAGACATATTGGGCCTCATCCCACCTTTAAAATAAAAAGTCACAGTTATTCATAAATAAACCAAAAGTGGTTGTGAATAGGGCAAGCTAAGAATAATCGATTGGCAATAAAATAGGAATTATAAAGAATACAATAGATAGTGAGTTAATCGGAAGCTTAAGATAAACACTATATAAATATATCCCAGTTACCCAGTAACAATACAATAATATCACAATAATCGATGAATTAGTTCAGAGAGTTACCATTTCTCCAATTTTCGTCCGGGTATGTTCTTCCATGTTACTTATGTTTATTTCTTCGTTATATCATGATTTCATTTCACAGTAAATATGTTTGCCTTCAAATATTCATTCAATGTTTGGTACGGATTCATTAACAATAGAAATTTTTTTGTAATTACTTAATAGGTGTCAAACTAAGTTGAAAGATTTAGTTGCAGAGCATATTGATCATTTACACTACATAGATGACTTGTTGTCACTGGGTATAGAAGGTTTAAACGAAGTACTGTGTGACCAGTTACTGAGGAGATTATTTATACCGTTACATATCTACTCCTTATTGAAGCAATACAAGTCGGATGCAACAACAAATCTAGGGACAGTAAGTTGACAAGTGTTTTTTATGTGTAGCCTGAATATATATGTGATGGGAAAAAGAAACTACGCGTTTTAATTTCCACATACGATATATTTTTCAAGTTAACACATATCCGTCCACCATTTAATTATGCTTAATTAGGTTTTTATTGTGTACTTTATGTAAGAACTAACAGTTAATGACACCATAGACTAAGTTTCGTGTCTTGGGTTTACAACCCCAACACATTTATAGTCCTAGTCTCATTTCAGCCAACCACCTATAACCAACAAACTCAAAAGTTTATTTTGAAGAGAAAACGGATTTATAAAGTTTTATGCTGCGGTTGTACTGTAGGCAACTATTTTAGCTTCTCTAATGAGTTGTGAAACACTAGGAACCATATAGCTGGGTAAATTTTAAACGAAACAATGCAAAAAATAGTTCATCTATTTTCTTATAATGAATTCAAAGGCGTTTTAGTTTCATTCAGAAAGTAACGTCTACTATAATAATCAAAGTAACTGTGATTAAGCTGTCTGAAAACCAATATTCTGGATTACTCATCCACTAATAGGAGTATCTCGTAAATTCAAGCAAGTCGTTGACTACATCTCGGTTAGAATAAATACTTTTTTCTTTTGTGTTCCAACTGCTTTCTACATCTGTTTCATACTAACTCATAGCCATCTTTTGTGGCCATGTAGGCCATTTTATCTAATCGATCATCGTTTATTTACTAAAATACTTTTGTGGAAACTTTTCAAGTAAATTCTAAAGATGATTTACATTACGAACAAGTGGCTTTAGTTGGCAGACTTGAAAATTAGAGAGTAAAATTGCACAGTTGGATTGTTTAGCTTGAAACTACTAGAAAATGAGTGCTCGCGTGCCCGTGGGGTATATAGCCTAGGCTCTTCATGTCTTACAGTAAGTACAAATTCTTTGCGCCATTGAATGGTTTCTGTATTGACGTAGTGATCGGGCTTGCTTATCGTAATGATCTGACCGGGCTATATTTAGAAAAAAATTGTTCATTTAGGTTCTACCATGTTAAGCAGATCGGTTGGGAGCGGTAAGACTAAAAGTAACAAAATAATGATCTGAGAGCAAAGTTATATTGCTGACGGTACCGAGGTATGACGGCAGTAAGGTGTTCCTCTCAGGCAGTCAGTACCTATGGTGAAGTTGCTTTACAACGGAAGGAGGGGGTTAAAAAAGACTGACACTAAAAACATCATATCTCATGTTAAGCCACGGATTTCCGTCTCCGGTGATAAGATCTTTTGAAGCACGGAGTTAACATGTCACAAACTTCCCACAGAAAGATCGTGTATAACTGGCCTCAGGCAGTTGTCCTTTGGGTTCCTCGGTCACTCTTCCAGGTCATTAAGACTACCCATAACCTAGTTTCCTTTTCAGGTCCCCAAAACACCCTGGTACGATCAAGAGTCAGTTGTCCGTTTCGAAATACTCTTACATGACCACGCGTATACAGCAACTGCCAGGGAAGTTTTACTCACTGCCTTCTCGCGACGGAGATGTTTTTTTCAAAATCGAGAGGACGAAAAGCGAATATCTGGCCCTTTGACCGGATTGGTGGATATGGAAGATCCACCTAGGGGAGTTAGAAAATTCTGATCCTAAACCACTAGTGTACATGGGCCCCAGGGCCCTGAGGAGACAAATGGCGTATGAACCTATTGTTGGTCATTGGCTACATTGGGGCTGCATCGCCTTATGTTGTTCCATTGCCTTGTGGATTAGTGCTCTAGGTCAAAGGCTCGGGGAGTGGCTCACTAAGAAAACCACCTGCTTCGGTTTAAGCATCTGGGCAGTATCTCAGCCCTCACACAAATTAAATGGTTTGTGTGGTGCTAAGTTTTTTGTAGCATTGTTTATGTGCTTAAATAAATAAATAAATAAATAAATAAATAAATAAATAAATAAATAAATAAATAAATAAATCAGGTCCGTCAAGAAGAAATATCCTTTTCCAGTTTGGGTAAACTGGAAGTGACAACTGCCCTCGTACCCCTAACAGCACTAGAGATCCTCTTGTTCACGATCAAATCCCTTCGTCACTTCTTGATATTCCTATCCCCACCACTAGCCTTTCTCCCGTGACTTTATCTCCATGTGCCACCAATGCTAACTATTCGAGTCTACGAAACTTATTCCTGATCTCTTGAAATTGTCTTCCAAACTACATGTTAGAGCTCTCACCATTCAGGCCTTATGTTAAATAGGTCGACAGGCTTTTATTATATCTTGTGATTGCTGGTCAAAATCATGTGACAATTCGCCGATCAGAATCCTGATTCTAATTCGCATCTAATATTACTCGGTAGCTTGGTATCTCCTCTGACAGTCAATTACACGTCTGACCAGCACTATCAACCTTGATTCAGCAGCTAAGTTCTTACTGGTCCACCGTTTTCTAGCTTCTCTTTGTGCCCTTTCTTTGAGTCTAAAAGTTAGCAACCAGTCTCCACTGTACCCATGTTCTAAACGCAGTTTATATACAAACAGACCAGACCGCATCACCCTATAAAATGAAAAATAACATTTATGCATAGACAGACCAAAAAGTGTCTGTGAATGAGGGAGACTGAGTAATCTCCTGGCTAGTATGGAAGAGCAAAATGTTTCCTGTAAAACTCAACCTTCACTTTATCCGACTTGCAGTCAATTTGAGTGCAAACAGGGACGACGAAAAGGCCACAGCGTTTGTCCCCATCCTTCCATGTTCTTACTTCTTCACTTAGTCAGACAGCCTACAAACGACTGCTTGTTGGAATCCAGTGTAGGAGATCTTGTTTTTTTGACGTATATATATATTGATAAACAGGGGATTCCGAATGTCTAGCTTGTACTATTTGAAGTTTTTTAATCAAACATAAGTGTTTCAAAGATTGATTCAAATAACGATACACTTGAATCCGTAAACAAAACTATTTTAACTAATAAGGAAAATTTGTCGGTGACAGTAATGGATAGATAGCCTACGATTTTACGCCGGTGTGATAGATTGATGAGGAGGAGCACAGGCCTCCCACCAGCATTCTCCATCTAACTCTGTTTCGGGCAATCCTTTCCAGCTGCTATTCATCCTTTTCATGTCTGCTTCCAATCCTCGACACAGTGTGTTCTTCGGCCTTTCCATTTTCCGTTTCTCTTCAGGATTCCAAGTTATCTCTTGCCTCGTGATAAAGTTTGGTGATTTTTGCAAAGTTTGTCCTGTCCACCTCCAACATCTGTTCTTAATTTCCTCTCCAACTAGAAGCTGGTTTGGTTTCTCCCACAATAGGCTGTTGCCGATGGTATCCGGCCAACGGATATTGAGTATCTTACGTAGACAATTGTTTAGAAATACGTTTACCTTTTGGGGATGGTTGTGGTAGTCCTTCAGGTTCCAGCTCCGTACAGTAGGACTGTCTTGACGTTCGTATTGAAGATTCTGACTTTGATGTCAGCTGACAGTTGTTTTGAGTTCCATATGTTCTTCAATTGTAGGAATGCGGCCCTTGCTTTGCCAGTCTTCGCCTTTACGTCTGCATCCGACCCTCTTTGTTAATCCATTATGCTTCCCAGGTACGTGAAATATTCCACATCTTCTAGAGCTTTTCGATCAAGTGTGATTGGGTTGGTGTTCACCGTGTTTTATTTGAGGATCTTGCTTTTTCATATGTGCATGTTGAGGCCTACTGATGCAGTGGCTGCTGCTATATTAGTTGTCTTGATCTGCATTTGTTCGTGTGTATGGGATAGGAGGGCCAGGTCCAAATCGTCTAATTGATTCTAAGCTGTCCATCGTATTTCGTGCTTCCCCTCAGATGTGGAGGCCTTCATAATCCAGCCAATCACCAGAAGATAAAGAAAAGGGGAGAGTAAGCAGCCTTGTCTGACACTAGTCCTCAATCGGAACGCGTCTGTTAACTGTCGTCCATGCATGATATTGCAGTGTAGTCCGTCGTATGAATTCTGGATGATATTGACGATTTTTCCAGGTACTCCATAGTGTCGAAGAAAGCTCCACAAGGTTTTTCTATCCATGCTATCAAACGTCTTCTTATGATCAAGGAAGTTGATGTATAGTGACGAGTACCATTCAATTGATTGCTCAACGATGATCCATAGTGTCGCAGTTTGGTTTGTGCACGACCGATCCTTACGGAATCCAATCTGTTGATCTCGAAGTTGGTCGTCCATTGAATCTTACATTCGGTTCAATAACACACTGTTGAAAATTTTTTCTGGTGCTGACAGTAGTATGATGCTTCTGTAGTTCTCACATTTGCTCAAATCTCCTTTCTTTGGTATCTTGATGAGGTGTCATTCTTTCCAGTCCGTCGGCACTTGTTCCTCCTCCCAAATCTTCCTGAATAGAACGTGAAGCATACCTGTAGTTACTTCTATGTCTGGCTTCAGAGCTTCAGCTGGTATATTGTCAGGTCCTACTGCTTTCCCGCTTTTGATTTGTCTGATGATCATCCTGATTTCTTCCATCGTTGTTGGAGTGACATCTATAGTGAGGTCTGTGTGTGCTGCTTCGATGTCCGATGGATTCAGTGGAGCTGGTCTATTCAAGAGTCCCTCGAATTATCCTACCCTTCTGTTACTCTGTTCTTCAATCTCGGTGATTGGCTTGCCTTCTTTGTTCTTGACCGATCTCTCTGGTTTATTATATTTCCCCGCTGGTTTCCCGTTGCATCACACGGTTGTCTCATATTTCCTTCACTTGCCGAGTTTTCCGCTTTCATTGCTATGTCTCCCACATATTTCTACTTGTCAGCTCTAATGCTTTTCTTCACTCTCTTGATTACTTCTGTGTATTCAGCCTGTGCCCTGACTTTCTTTGCTCTTGTTCGGCTGTTATTAATTGCTACCTTCTTGTTGTTTCATTCATGAATGTTGTCTAGGGTTTTGATAGAGATCCATTCCTTATGATGATGATGCTTGTTTCTGCCAACAACCTCTTGACTTGTTGAAGTCGGTGATTCTTTGATCCCTTTGTAGTTGTGGTTCATAGCAGTTTCTTCTTTCAGTAGATCCTGTAAGGTTCGGAACTTGTTGTTGAGAGTTGTCTTGAATTCGTTGAGTTTGACGGTATCTCGAAGGAAGGCTACATTGAACCTATGTAATGTTGTTTCCCCGTTGTCTACTGTTTCTTTAGCTCCAGTTTCATCTTGGCAACTACTAGCTAGTTTTGATCTGAAGCTATGTCAGCTCCTCCTCTGGTTCTCACATCTTCCATTGATCTGAATTTGTCGGTGATGTAAATCTGATTGATCTGGTTCTCCGTGGTGTGTTCCGGTGAGACCCATGTAGCTTTGTGTGTGCGTTTGTGTGGCGATATTGTGCCACATATATGCATATTGTTGAATACACACAAATTCGAAAATCTGTCACCATTCTCGTTCCTTTCTTCTAGTCAGTCCATGTTGTCCCATGATGTCCCCACACCTGATGTTGTCCATTCCGACTTTGGCGTTTAGGTCTTCCATCAGGATGGTCAGGTCTTTACCTAGGCACTTCGCTATGATTGATTGCAGCCTCCTTTAAAACTGATCTTTGTTGTCGTCATTGGTATCATTGGTGGGTGCATGACACTGCTTGACATTCATTGTAAGCCTCTCCTTCTTTGTTTTTAAAGATGCTTTGGTGATTCCGAGTCCGTGAGATTTCCATCCTGAAAGTGCATCACGTGCTTTTTTGGACAGCATCAGAGCCACTCCCTGAGTGTGCTAAATATTTTCTTCTTCGTGACCAGAGTACAACAGCATCTTTCCCGAATCTATCCATTTCTGTCCAGCTTGGGTCCAATGGGTTTCGCTGATTCCGAGTACTGCCAAGTTGTATCTCCTCATTTTCTGAACTATTTGATTAGCCCTCCCGGTCTCCCACATTTTCAGGATGTTCCATGTCCCTACAAAAATTGTTGCTCTTGCTGTTAGAATGGGCATCAGTCTTGTGACTTCCTAAGAACTTTGTTTTTCTGCATGAGGCGTCATAATTCTTCCTTCAACTCTCAGGGTAGAGTTTAAATGTTTTTATTTGTTTAATCTGGTTGGCGTTTTTTAGCAAACTTGTTTTGTACGGACTGTGGTTGCCGACCCCATGCTCAAACCTCCTCCTTTACCCGGGCTTGGGACCGGCAGTAACTGTAGAAGAGATACAGGTGGAGTTGAAAACAGAGTGGATACACCCAAACCATTGCGAACGATTCTGAGTCATGTTATTTGAAGTCTCTAACCATTGGTCGCGACAATAACTCGCAAGCCAATTCGGTAATCTGAGAATGCCTACTAGGGTTACTCTGACAGTTAGTATCTTCATGGACTTCTGCTATGTATTGGTTTGGCTACAACTAGCTTTCTTTCAACTTACACCCCTACAACAGCCATTATCACTCATCGAACAATCCGATGAATGTGAATACGCAATACATATTCTAACCATCTCATTTGATAAAGATTGACTACCTCATCCATTGGTTTGCCTTACCTACCTAGTACTCTGCATCTAACCTTAGAATTCCCTACTTGATGATCCCAACATAAATGAACAATGCTTTGAAGACATCAATGATAAAAACTAGTAACCTGCGAATATTCTCTACTTAAAATGACCACTTTTCGCAGGCACGAACGAGAATGGATCTAACTGCTGCACAGTAAACTCATCCTTTGGTTTCCAGGCGGAGATCTTTCCAACGCCGCAAGTAACGAAAGTCGGCAAAAACTGATTGAGCTTTCTAAATTCTTGCTGAGATGTCGTCAAACACCAGCCCATCAGGACTAAAGAGGCTTCCAAGATAAATGAACCGATCGACATACCCAACTAATTCACTCCCTATAACTAGTTCAGGCGTTGATATAAACCAGTTTTGAAGAAACGTTTTGCATTTGGAGGGAGAGAAACTCATCCCAGAAATGTCAACATTGTTGCTTACGGCGGCCAGAATACCTTACACTTTGTCAGCGTCTTTATCAAACAGAACTATATCACCTGAGTATTTCAAACCAACAAGAGAATTTCCTGGCAGAAGATCGATTCCTGACAAGTCAGATGATGAATGTCATATGTAGAAGGATATCTATCACAAAGTTAAACAAAAATAGAGAAAAAAGATAACGCTGACGAACACCGCTTGAAGTTTTCAATTTCAATGACAGGTCACCATAAATTCTGACTCGACCAGTAGTGTTCGAGTAGAAAGCCTATACAGGGTTAGGTTAACGGTTTGATGCTCTGTTTATTAAACTCTTTAGTTTGGATCCATTTTGGAACAAAAGTTAATCGGTAAAATCTAACAAATATGCACACCAGATGGCTTAGGTCTTGATTAAGGAGAGAAAACTGTTCATATTGGTCTTACCATTATGCTACTTGGATAGACCACATTAAAAAGCACGACTCAGTGCTTGTGAGAAAACATTAATGTTTGCAAAATATTGTTTGAGAAGAAAATATTCTAATCAGCTTATGGTTTTGTAACCTCTGTTCATGAGTTTACTTAGGTATCATATGAGAATATGTAGCATCTTATTGTTAGTAAGAATTTTAGTGATCGATTATTTGTGTGGTATTTAAGCATCTCAAAGTATATGAGGTTGTTTTTTAGAACTATTTGTGTTTATGCGCATTATATAAGATTAATAACAACTATGCACATTATTTACTACGTGCATTTTCTTCATGTACTAGAGTTTTAGGCAGGTCTTATAGATGCTAGTTGATGATGTTATCTGGCTGTCCAAACTCTAAATCAAAAGGATGGCATCTAGAGCCAAGATTGAATAATTAAAAATCAAGTGAATTGAATCATTATCTTTACAGTAATTAACAGTTAGTGTCATAATATTGATACTGTATTAATGATAGGTTAGTCATTGATAATGATGTTTTATAATGTTTCCAACAGTATAATAATAACGGGACAGGCTTTATATATATATTAAGTATTACGATCTAACCAATTTTTCGTTTCTTTTTAATAACAATGAAACGGTACTAATTTTTTGATTTATTTATTTTGAAAGGTTCGTAGACCTCGTCTATCCTATTCCGTGACAGTGTTTACACTAATTCATGTGTATTTATTTCTACGTGATACTCGACTAATCTGTTTACTTACGGAAGCTATTCTAATTGGCGATCTCACATTGCCTGGCTTAATAATACCTTGTAATATACCATGTTCCAATTCACAAATTGTCTTCAATGACCCCACAACTCAGGATTGTTCTGTAAGTTTTCAAAGAAATTTAAATTACGAAGAGACTGATGATACTGCATCTGATGATGATCCAGCAATGATCATTGCTAAAACGTTAATTGCTGCCACTGTGTCTTTACGAGCTTCTGACCAAGCATCACCTGGGCAAAGATTAACTACCTACTTAATACATTCAGTGACATCCAAAAATCCATTGATATTTTCTCAACCTAGTGAATCATTAGAACATGGATTAACTCAAGCGAAAGGTGTAACACCGACATTGATGTCTGTTCTATGGCCACCCAATGTGGCTCCACTAAAACTAGTGGAGAAGAATACAGAAACTTACGTGAGTTTAAAATAGACAGGGTTTTAACTGTTATTATTATTACTTTGGAAATTATAGTCAACCTCTAATCATACAGATTTCTGATTTGTTTAAAATTTCTATCGTATTGCATGAAAATGGTGTATTAGTTATAAGAACGTTGTTCTAACTAACTGAAGTGTATAATCATTATCTATTTTCTGCGACATGTTTCTATTCTTGACTGTTTATCCATTAATTAGTTTACAAATAACTCGTAGTTAGACTATATTTACGTCGATTATTTTGTGTATACAATGGTAGTTTTGTTCCCTTAAGGTACGTCATGTTTTTTTATAAAAGTTCATTCAGTTGAGATTCTAGACGATTATTGGTCTTGTGAAAAAAGATTAACAGCTTGGCTAACACAGTCGCAAATCAGTTGGACCATCACAACGGAAACGATGTTTTTTATGTAGACAGTGAAAATCAACGGTTTGGCAAGTGGCCATTCATGGAATAGTTTGGTTTAAATATATGAATTCAATAGGGTTTAGCTTTATCTAATTATATAGAACTTATTTACTTAGTACAAGCATAGATACCTCCCTATGAGCTACATGTTTTACGTATGAAGACTTACTTCGTGGAAGTTCGTTCTGTTCTACTTTACGGCTGCGAAATGTGACCATTAAGAGTACAAGATACTCGTAAGTCACCAGTATTTGATCACACATTTTTTCTGGAAATATTACCAACATTTGCTGGGGTCACCGGATAAGTAATAGTGAAGTTAGACGCAAGATATTAGCGAATGATGGTTGGGCCACGTGTTACGTATGTCTGAACATCGATTAACACAGCGCTAAATATAATAGGTTGTCCTCCCCTGTGCTATCCTTCACTACAATACTACTCGGCTATTCGAACTGAAATGAGTGGAGTGTGGTCCCAATGTTTAGTCTAAGCGTTGATGGTCGGCTGCTTTATCCTGGAAGGCGGTGAAAAGGGAAAATGTTCTATTTTTTCACATAACTCATGAAACCTTAGGGCATTTTTCATTTATTTTTCTTTGGTAACATCATGATCTGTACTTATGACTGTCTAAATTTAATGAATTTTTACATTAAAGAAACATATATTTTAGTCACATGTAATTTCTTGTGAAGATCAGGTCGAGAAATAACAATTGTCACATCATTTCGAATATTTTTACCGAATTAAAATATGAAATTATGGACGTTTTAATCATTGGAGGTCATATTAACTGATAGCAAAGATGGGTGAAAAGCTAACTTCTATTTAAGACACAAGTAGTTCTGACGTTTTCTTCGTCTCGAGTATCGTGAAAATCTGGTTGAGGCGACTTAAAAAAAATGGTAGGATTTCCTTCATATTTGCCGTAGAAATAAGGTCAGTCAGTCGTAAACAAACAATCTGGCACAGATATGGATTGCTGTAAGCTGTTACATTACATTAGCACAACAAAAATACTAACGAGCTAAAAAAAGACAATGATTGGGAATAATAATAGTACCAATGATAATAGAAAACTAAACATATAGGAATATATTTCAAAAAGAGTAAATAAAACTGCTGAGTAAAGAGTATGGAATGATAATACTGAACTCAAGATATAAACGATAACATGCGTGCATTTATTGTTTCTGTTGCTGGTTTTAAACCATTTTAAAACAGCAAGTTAATGAGTTTGTAAGTATCATTACTAAGGTTTGAATTCCAAATAAACTGAGCAGTTATATATTAGTAATATCCCAATGAGTAGAAAAACCTAACTTTTATACTAATTGGGATATTACAAATATATTATTTTTATTTATAGCGAGTTAATGAATAAAGGACCACTGGTTTACTGAATTAGGAGAGGCTAGTGATAGTTTCGTACTTATTCTATATACATGTATGCTCTCCGTCCACCGTATTCGTACAATTGGAGCAAAATTAGTGTTTTTCCTTGAAATATTATGAAATGTGATGAAATTTCGATTATAAAAATATAACAAAAGAAGTCCTAAAAATAGTTAAAATATGTAAACAATGTCTACACGTTTTTGCGCAATTATAATGTGTTTAGAAATTGTTATACTATATGACTGACTGTGTGTTTATTTTAGAAATACTTAAATCGTATTACATTATACATGCATTAAGTTACAGTTACTTAATAATTCCATTTTCTTATGGTTTACACTGAGGATTGATCTGAGACAACTATTGGGGACCATGAAGCACTGAGTAGCCGACTCGTCTTAGTATAGGACTCCTCAGCCGTACTCATTCAGAACTTCACTCGATGATCGGAACCAAGACTTTCAGTTTTGGGGTGAAGGCATTATCCTCTAACCAACTGGACCATCATCTTAATGTGTACTTGTCCAACTTCACACAATTCGTGATATTTTGCGTCCATTTTTCATTATATACGGTGATTAACTGTCTCTTAATCAATGTGAATGAACTCTATTAGTCACAGCTTCTCATTGGGGCTCTTCGAATTAGTCGCTAATGAGCACATGATCATTATTAGTATAGAGGGTTTGTATAGATTGTTCGGTTTTCGCACAATATCGCGGGCCGATTAAGACCAGACGTATACACTAATGGTTGTCGGCTCAGTGGTCTAGAGCTGCGGACGAGTACGGCTGAGGAGTCCTACACTAAGGCGAAACGGTTACTCAGTGCTTCTTGTTTTTCAATGGTTGTCTAAGATCAGTCCGCAATGTAAACCGTGAAAGTTCAACAGTCTCTTTAAACTTCCCATACTAATTTCATATTCGTTTCATATTTATTATGCATATATACTTTTTATCACATTCAGTGAATCAGCTACAACGTAGAACCAGGCATATATATGCGTCGGTTCAAGTTGCCACACCTCATTAGCACGGCAAGATGATCACCAAATTCATAGAAGTAGTTACTTCAATGGTAGTAATATATAAAAGAAGGATTGAATATAATAAAAAAAATTAGTTCGTAGAATGAAAAGCATAAGGTAATTTTAATCTCACTGTTTAAGGGAAGACAAAGAGCGTATACACCTACACCATTGTGGTCGATTCTGAGCCATGTCACCAAGAGTCTCCAACCATTGGTTACGATAGTGACGCGGACCCCAACCAAGTAGTCTGTATCTACCAACATGGCTCAGACTAGAAGTTAGTGACTTCGAGCACTGATGCCACGTTTTGGCTTGGCCGCCCCTAACTTTCTTCCAACCATCTCCAACAATAGTCAGCATTGGGCTCTGTGTTAATCGGTGTTTGGGCATACGTAACACGTGGCTCAATCATCTCAGTCGATGTTGATTCACAACCCTATCAACTAGTTTACCATCATGCTCTGATACCCTGCGTCTAACCTCCCTATTACTTATCCGGTGATCCCAGAAGATTTTGGTAATATTTCCAAAAAATATGTGATCAAATACTAGTGATAATTCCCATTCTGCCATTTGGTAAATAAAGAAGGAAAGAATTGAGCGAAGAAATTTCTTTTCAATTAGTTTTTCATCATGGCTCTACACTAATATATATACGTTTTACAATAATAATATAATACTCATCGAGTGGTTACGTTACGTAATAATTACATAATGACATTTAAATTAACATTAATTAATTGGAAGAAAGAGGATTATTAATATTCAAAGTGATCAATAAGTTGCTAAGTTGCGTAATGTAAGAAACAAAGAAGGAACAGAATTTTAACGGATGGTCAATAGGATGGTAGTTACGTAAGAATCAAGAGATGAATGTTGAGAAGTTATTAAGTTCAAAAGCAACAGAAATAAAATTACAAAAGTTTAAAAAATTACAAAAAATTACAAAAGTTTTAAAAAATTAAAAAAAAAATGGAAGAAGTATGAAAAATAGTTCTTTTGAAGGAAATCTTAAACTGATGGCCAGGGCAGGGAAAGTGGTTGTACGAATCTCTTTTGTATGCAAAGGTCAGGTTTGTGAACATGGATTGCGATGGCTTCCGCAATGTGCAAGAGGCGCACTCGTAAACCATGTGACAAATTAGATGGGATATTGTAGATAACCTTAAAAGCTTTATTCAATTCGACTTGATGACCTGTGTCAACCAAGTGAGAGAGAATAGAACTTTTAATCACTTTTACCTGTCCTTTGTTTAACCACGACGGATGATGTTCAGTAATGCGATGACGGACTTGCCGAATTGTACGCCCAATATAACTGGCTCCACAGGAGCAGTTGAAACGATAGATACACATAGATTTGGCGAATTCAGGCAGTCTGTCTTTGTTGGCTGTTCTTATCTTAGGATAGTTGTAGAAGATTGCATTTAATCTGGCAGCATTAAATGTTTTTTGTACGGCTCTTCTTAGTTTCTGAGTTAAGGTTTCTTCAATGGTGTCATTTATGAATTGTAGTTTTATGAATAGTACCTTCTACAATTCATAAATGACACCATTGAAGAAACCTTAACTCAGAAACTAAGAAGAGCCGTACAAAAAACATTTAATGCTGCCAGATTAAATGCAATCTTCTACAACTATCCTAAGATAAGAACAGCCAACAAAGACAGACTGCCTGAATTCGCCAAATCTATGTGTATCTATCGTTTCAACTGCTCCTGTGGAGCCAGTTATATTGGGCGTACAATTCGGCAAGTCCGTCATCGCATTACTGAACATCATCCGTCGTGGTTAAACAAAGGACAGGTAAAAGTGATTAAAAGTTCTATTCTCTCTCACTTGGTTGACACAGGTCATCAAGTCGAATTGAATAAAGCTTTTAAGGTTATCTACAATATCCCATCTAATTTGTCACATGGTTTACGAGTGCGCCTCTTGCACATTGCGGAAGCCATCGCAATCCATGTTCACAAACCTGACCTTTGCATACAAAAGAGATTCGTACAACCACTTTCCCTGCCCTGGCCATCAGTTTAAGATTTCCTTCAAAAGAACTATTTTTCATACTTCTTCCATTTTTTTTTTAATTTTTTAAAACTTTTGTAATTTTTTGTAATTTTTTAAACTTTTGTAATTTTATTTCTGTTGCTTTTGAACTTAATAACTTCTCAACATTCATCTCTTGATTCTTACGTAACTACCATCCTATTGACCATCCGTTAAAATTCTGTTCCTTCTTTGTTTCTTACATTACGCAACTTAGCAACTTATTGATCACTTTGAATATTAATAATCCTCTTTCTTCCAATTAATTAATGTTAATTTAAATGTCATTATGTAATTATTACGTAACGTAACCACTCGATGAGTATTATATTATTATTGTAAAACGTATATATATTAGTGTAGAGCCATGATGAAAAACTAATTGAAAAGAAATTTCTTCGCTCAATTCTTTCCTTCTTTATTTACCAAATACTAGTGACTTACGAGTATCTCATACTTTTAATGGCCGCGTTTCGCATCCGTAAAGTAGAACAGAACAAACTGCTGCGCAGTATACTCGTCCTTTTATCGATAGACCGATATCTCGCCTTCACCATAGGTGACATGTTGGCGAAAGCCAAACGAGCTTTTTGAATCCGTGCTGAGATTTCATTAGACCCCTACCCATTAGGGCTGATCAGACTTCCAAGATAAGTGAAGTTGTCAACGCGTTCGACTACTTCACTCTTTATTCTTAGTTTAGGTGTTGACGAAGGCCAGTCAGTCCTGAATCAACAATTTGAATTTAGAGGGGGAGAAACGGATCCCAAACATCACGACATTGTTGTTCAGTGCTACCAAAAAACTCTACATTTTATCAGCGTCTTCACCAAACAGGACTATGTCATCTAAGTATTCTAACTTGTTAAGTGGACCTCCTGTAAGGAGACCATTTCCTGAAAATTCAGTGGACGAGAACGATATTTGCAGTAGTAAGTCTATGATGAAATTAAACAGAAATGGACATATTGGACAGCCTTGTCGGACACAACTTAGTGTTGCAAAATCAGATGACAGTTCGCCATGAGCTCTGACTAGACTAGTGTTCGAAAAAGGAATCTTCACAAAGTTTATGTACTTCTAAGGTGAACCTTTCAATGATAGACACTGCCACAGAACCTCTCGATATACAGAGCCAAATTCTGCTTTTAAGTTAAGAAAATCCATCATTGTCGGACGCTGATAAACATGCCTCTGTTCTAAGGTCTGACGAATGGTGCAGCCACGACCAGGTCTAAAGCCAGCCTGATTTTCTCGTGTTTGCTGCTCACGAGTTTTTGTTAGGCGTCTGATAATCATTGAGGTTAGTATTTTAGACGCTGTATTAGTCAAACTAATCTCTCTATGGTTATCACAGGATCATTTTGACCCCTTTTTTATATTGGGATATTAGTGACACATGGTTGCGTAACCATTCATCCGTTGCCTGAAGTAGATTCCTGTCTCTACCCGGCACGGATTGAACTCCACTAATCACAGCTTTAGTGGTCTAGTTTACATCAGCTCAAATATAGGGACACAAAAATCCTAGGGTCTACTAAATACGCAGTAAAAATATAACAATACCCCCATTAGTTAAACTTACGTACTACTCGCGCTATTATATCAGGCACTGGTATGTTTAACTTTATATCACTCTGAAAGTTAAATAGCATTTATTTCTTAGTTTTCATGGATTTCTAAAACTCTGGAATGTATCAGGACTGTCATTTGTGAATACGATGATTTTAGGTATAATAAGGATTAATTCGTGAATAAATTTATAAGCAGTATAGCAGTACAGTACAGGAATCAATTAATTGTTAAATATTTTTGTTGTGACCCACAGTTTTCGATAGTTGATACTGTTATTCAGTCTTCTTGTGAATATGAACCCAACCGGCTACTTGAGTGAAGAAGGCTGAGAGTAAGAAGGAAAGTTTACTGACTAACCGAATAGGCTTGTACGTATATACATACATACATATATCCTTCAGAAAATAAAGCCACCAGTGGTGTGTTTTATCATTCCTACGAAATGTAAACCACTTCTGGTCCAATCGCGTGCACTTCTCATTTGGCTGATTTCTGATCGGACTAATGTATAAATTTTTCATCTTATTTCAATATGGAACTTCTTATGATGTTATTTATAGTGTTTTTCTGAAACATTGGTTAAGTGGTTGGAGAATTCACGTATCAGCCTCTGCGTGATGGATTCGAACCCAGCTGGCTACATCTACTTCATTTTTAGTGTCTGAGCAATACCATTAGCCTTTACTTGCTAATGTTATAACAGAACGAGTATTGGAGAGGTTCTTACTGTTTAGACTATCTTCATCAATATTGTTGTTTATTTTTACATTGTGTAACTACTGAGTAACCGGACTATGTTTTTGTATTCCGTTTGTTGTAAACCCGTAACAGCACACAAGACCAAGTTGGTCACATTCAAATCCCTCCTACATCCAGATAAATCTCTTATTGCCACGACTAACCCTTCTCACGTCCCTTTATCACCTCGCACCGCTAGGGCAAACGATTCGAGTACGCGGAACGTTATTCCTTGGTCTCCTGAAACCACGCTCTAAACTACATGTAGGAGCTTTCAACGTCCAAACACTGTGCCAAATAGGACAACAGGCTTTCTTAGCTTGAACTTTAGAATCTCGCGCCATCGATGTGTGCTGCGTCTCCGAAACGCGCATACAGGATCCGAGTAGCGTCATTCATTTGACCTCACCATGCCAAAATAAAGAACCGACTCGATTCACACTTCGTGTATCTGGAAGCCCTGATTCTGCTTCCCGTGGCCTCGTCGGCGTAAGTATAGCATTGAGTCCTAGGGCAGAACTAGCTCTCTTAGACTGGATCCCAGTGGACAGTCGTTTATGCGCTGTCCGATTAAACGGAACAATAAGGACTCGGAAAGATAGGGACACTCGTCGTTGCCTCTTCGTCGTCTCTGCCTATTCTCCCAGACTGCAGCGCAGATGATGTAAACTAAGCGAAAGGGAAAGACACCTGGGTGGATCTTATGGTGTCGTAGCTCAAAGAACAGATAATGGCGACCGTCTGTTGCAGCTATGCTCAGATAACCGCTTGTTTCTTGCAAATACTAGCTTTAAGCATAAGCAAAAACATGTTTTGACTACTACCTTTACCACTACGGAATTTGAATCTATAATTGTATCTGTGTGCTAATGTGGTATGGCAACTTGAACCAATGTATGCACGTACGAAGTTCCACGTTGTTACTGACTGACGGAATTGCTGTAAGCGTCCGTTTGACCCACTACATATTACTGTACGTTTTATTGTTCCTATATTATCTCTAATCAACTATTTACAGTTTTCCTAGTTGACAGTCACTTTTGACATGTTTGTGTAATAAGGATGATTTTCTATTTTATGTTGTTGGTTTGGTCCTGTTTTGTCGGGCATATAAGCTAATGGGGGCTTGAGATAGCTGCTGGAGGGGCTTTTTAAAATATAGTATAGAGGTTTGGCTACGGCTTTCTTCTCAAACTTAAGGTTGAGGATTGAAGTCATTGCATATAAGCCGACCAATAAGCTTACGATGGCTTAAGGTTGATTGTGTCGATCAGAATGTATAATTAGTCAAGGCTAAGGGCTCTAGGTTATAAACGGAGTAACAGAAGTGTATCAGAGAAAATGTAATCTTAATTCTGATTGAAGAACTTAGCAAGTGATATTAATCAATCGCTCAGACACAACACTTGGTAAGTTTATTTTGTCTTTACTTATCCCATAATGAAAAAATTCTTCTGCATATTTTTTACCCTCATGAATAAACAGGTTCAGTCATCCATTTCTTCAAACCCATGTGAAAAACACTCATCTGATCTGTCACCAGGCGATTCACAAATACAATCTCCTAACAGCTGTAAAGATTCGTGTATGGGTTTGTTTTTCTGAATGTTATAATTATAATAATAATTATTATTATCGTCACATCATCATCGACATAGTTTTGTTTAATTATCAGTAAATTGATGTACTGTGAAACATTTTCCGTCCTGATTATTGGTCTGCTTATGAAAGGAAGTTGATCATTTATTTTCAATGAATTCAAGTGATGTGTAGTTTTTTATATATTAGTTTCCATTATCCCAATAAATTAAATATCAGTTAACTTGACTTTCGGATTATTAGTTATTTTCATTGGCTAAGTTATTATAAGAAAGGGTAATCGACATTTTCCTTTACTCTAACATTAACTATGATGTTCTTATGATATCCACCAATATGTTGTAGGTTCAAAATATAATTGTACTTTTCGGTGGTAATGCTTTACTGTCATAAAGGGTTGCTAAAGTTAGATGGTAACTTCAGAAGATAATAAACATGTAAATGAGCATCCTTTTAGCGTAATGTAGGCTACCAAGATAGATTAACCGTACAGTTGATTATATTGTATGCACAATTAATCATATTGATGTAACATTGTGTTTGTCACAGAGTTAATTTCAATCAATCGGTAATATGTAGCCGTACATGGAACCTGGGGCATATGTGCATCGGTTGAAGTCGCCATATCACTTCAACACAGTGAGGTATCAGTGTAGTGTAGGTAGTAGCAGTAAATATTAGTTATAGAAGATAGCGTTCAAGAAAAAGATATGAATTCATCAAATGAAAACCATTGTAAGATAATCGAGAAACTTAGAATCTAAGGGAAGATAAAGAGTGAATACACTTGAACCATTGCGGATGATCCTGAGTTATCAGTCAAAGTCTCTAACCACTAGTCACCACTATAACTTCACTGACCTCAATCAGGTAGTCTGAAACTGTCTACAGGGCTCAGTTCAAAAGTCGGTGTTTTCGTGAACTAATTCCACTTTTTGATTTAACCGCTTTAGCTTTCTTCCTACTTACCCCCTCTACACCAACCGTCACGTGTCGAGGTGGGACTGAAATTAGTTCATGTCACAATAATTGCTGATCACAAAGTAATAGAACTCATACCAAATGTCAGTTCCCGTGGTTAGTTGTTGATACCATTATACTGAATTAGAGTGGTTTAAACTATTTGGAGTTTCAACAATATGGTAATTCAATATGGCTTACATGCTGGCAAATGCCCTGTTTATTCTTTAGCGTTACTTTGTTAGTAACCTAATGACAGTGTGCTAGCTCTAATCCGAATACATATGAGTTTGTGTAATTTGAATTAAGTAATGTATAAATCTTCCGTAAATGTGTGACATAAGTGGAGTGACTAACAACAATCATGTAGGCTGCATGCTCAAGAGAAAACAGTCACAAACTGTACTCGATGAATTCTATCGACTAAACGCATACATGTTAACGTATTTCCTTGGTTATCAGATTAATTCTTTCGCATAAATCCGATTGTGTTTCTGAAAAGTAAAATCTTCGAACATTTTCGTTCTGTTTTGTAATGGGGTTTATGACTCTAATTGTATATTTACTAAATGGAAAGTCTCATTAAGGTGATACCCAAATATTATTTCAACAGTAAAGATCACATATCACACTAGTAAATCATCCTTTTAATGTGACTGAGTGATAACCAAAGTCAGATGATTTATCACAGGATATGAAAGCTGTCTTGCACTCACATCTCTAGATTACAATCAACTTTAAAAAACGAATTCTTATGACTTGTGGGTGTTTTGTTGCTCACGGAGTTAAATACCAATGAAAATCAATTGAATACGCGTTGGGATACAGAAAAAATAGAAGAATTATGATTTTAAAATAACTTATAGTAAACTGATTTACCATTAAACAATTCTCGTCATGAATCCGTGCAATGAACTTCACTGTGTACAAGAGTATGGGATAAATAGCATTAGGTAGATCATTCACTGTTATAAGGACTTGTCTGTTAATATATTCAATGATTTAAATCAAATAATCAGTTTTAATCAATATTTGATTTCTGATTGTTTTCATCAACAAATTAATTGATGTGACTGTTTGTCTTCGCGCATATTAGTTAGCTTATTTGAATGAATGATTTTTAAAACACCCGGCGATTCCGCTTATGTCAGCTTCTCACGACCAACTATGATTGACTACATTTTCAGCTAATTGTTATTTCTAATTTATACATTAACGATATTTCTATGGAGGACATTTTTTTACAATTATTTATACTAAATCTCTTTAATCACAGTTACATCGTCTTTTAATACCTCTTTTTATGATTTCAGAATTATCTTTCATCTGTTTAGAATACTATGCTATTCAATGAAACGTTTAAGAAAGTGTGTTCAAAGATATATTACGTTTAAGCCTGTTCTTCCGCGTTTGTAGGAGAAAAAACACTCAAGTTTATCTTAGGGAGGGGGGGGGTTAGGTAGTTTTAAAGAAACTCTAGACAAGATAAATTTCTTTATTTACTCATCAAAATGTTTTCACATATTCCAATGTTGTATAACGTCAGTTATGACCTTATTTGAGTATGATAATTAATCACGATAAGTTAAATGATTTTTCCCAAGTTGTAGTCACCACCTACTGTTTGGTGATATATATTGTGTAGTAGAGTAGTAGATCGGAAGCACGCTAATGATAAACAATCTCAAGAAGTCACACCAATCCATGATTTCACTAAGCGTTGATATGAGTTTTGTTAGCAGGTACAAAGCTCATGAATGTGATCCAAGAGATAATTAATATTGTATGATTGAAATCCTTTGGTAATATAACTCGAAATTGGTGACAGTGGATCAGATGGAATTCATTTTCCATGTACTTTTAAGTTCTAATTTTTAGTGTTATTTCAGTTAAATAGTTTAACTCATTTCTTCCTGAATTATTATATTTCATATGTTTATTGTTCCGCAGTGAATGAACGCTCATGTAGGGGCAACTAATTTGTTATTTAATACAAAGTTACAGTCCTTTCATAAAATGTGAAAAACTACACATTAAATATTTCATTCGCAAATCCTCAATCATCTGTATCAAACTACATCGTTCCTTCATTGCTATTACAATTACTCTCTATTTACATTGCCATTCTTTTCGGTTCGATCTTCTCAACCTTCTGCTATCAGGCATTTCACTCCTGATTGGTGTTACATACTACTTATGTCTGCCGACATAAGTAGCATATACCACAATTCTACTATATTGGTACTATTATTTCGTCTGATCACCTTTCGCGTTTTTTTTAACTTCCTGCCTCATTGAATTTATGCAAATTGTGAAAATTTTGACAGTTGTTTTTATTATGTATATATATACAGGGTTCCATGTTGTTCATAACTAATTAACTGACCAATTATCTCTAAGTCTTCATCAAATTTTAGCCATATGTTGTTTTAGAATATAACATTTAACTCTGCTTTCATCCTGTATTTATGACCTTGTGACTTAATTACAAGTTTTACTGTAAATTAACAATTTTATAAACGTCCATTTGTTTCTTAATTGTTTTCTTTTAGACGCATCTATTGAAAAATCCCCAGTTAAAATTGAAGATTCGTCATCTAATTCATCAGTCGTTTTTGAACAAAACGATAAAACAATCGATGCTGACTTATCGAATCTATCTGGCCGTGTTTTTTTAAGATCTTTATTTCGTTCTTTGGAAATTCGTTCCGGTTCAGATCAAGATGCTATATTCTCTATTCTCCTTTTATTCGCTATAAAATCAAATAAAGGTGAGGTGTTACGTCTCTTTTTCCGATCCCAAAAGGTTTTTTTCATATTTCCAAATCTTAGCCTACAAAGCAATTGATAGATCCTATCAGAATAAACTTCGAAATTGAATCTTCTTATAACTGTAACTTCATCAGTATAAAATTTATGGGTAAATCTGTAAGAGGTATATTCAATTATATTCAGTATTCACCCTCTGATGTGTCAGGTTAAACTGTCGCTTAGTTTGATACAGTATTGTAAGTAAAGTTGAAGTGAAATGTACAAATATCCGACGTGGTCATCGTCAAGCTAAATAATCGATTCTTGAAGTCATTGACCATTTAAATCAGCAGTTAGTAATCTATCACAATAGCATAGAAACATTTCACGACCGTTGTTGCTACCTTGACGTAGTGGTCGGGCTTGCCTGTCGTGATGAAGCAACCGAACTATACTGGCTTGAACAACCGTTCCTCAAGGTCCTACCATGTCAGACAGGTCGGTTGAAGAGCGGTAAAACTAAAAGCAACAAACCCAAGGTCCGAAGGCGAAGTCGTACTGCTGACTGCATAGAGGTGTGACAGCAGTAAGGTGTTTTCTTCAGACAACCAGTATGACAGCGATGCTGCCTGCCCTTAAGGAGGGGTGGGGTTAGAAAAGGTCGACCCTACAAATCCACACCTCACCTTATCCCACGGATATCCGTCTCCGGTGGTAAGGTCTCAACAAGTACGGAGCTAACGCAAAATTACTCATAAAAAGGTCGTGTGTGACCGACCTCAAGCAGTTGTCCCTTGGGCACTGCGGTCACGTTCTCAGGTCACTAGGACCACCTCTAATCCAATTTCCTTTTCAGGTACCTCCAGAACAACCCTTCCACGGTGTGGGCATCCGGGAAGTGATAACCGCCCTCATACCTCTAACAGCACTCAAGACCACTGTATTCATTAGTCAACCTAGAAATATTTGTTCTTGGCTTCTCTATGTTGGTGTTACTTTATTACTCATTACCTCTTTATGCTTATGGATTTCATATTTTTCTTTTATTCTTGTTCATTTTAATATATTTTTTATGACCTACTATTGTAGCTTGTGACACAATTAAACAAAGATACATTTCTATATAGGATTATTTCTCTCTTCTTTCCTCTTTATATTTTTAAATAAGAAGTAAAATGATCCCAATTTTATTCAACCATTTAAATTGGAATCCATACATTTGATTATTGATCAACTGGTTAGGTTTTGAGTTGGTAATCGTTTGATGAAAGACATTATCAGATCACAGTTGGTTAATTTAATGTACAAATGAAAAGTACATAGAATTAGCCCATGAAGATACCGACTTTTGAACTGAGCCCTGTAGACAGTTTCAGACTACCTGATTGAGGTCAGTGAAGTTATAGTGGTGACTAGTGGTTAGAGACTTTGACTGATAACTCAGGATCATCCGCAATGGTTCAAGTGTATTCACTCTTTATCTTCCCTTAGATTCTAAGTTTCTCGATTATCTTACAATGGTTTTCATTTGATGAATTCATATCTTTTTCTTGAACGTATGTTCATCACCACCTTATGTAACTTACTTTCATCATATGATTTGTTATTTATTCGGTTGTTAGTAATATTTTATTATTGTATTCATTAAGATTTGATTTTTTTTACCGAGTCGTAAGTTCGAGTTCTTCTCTACTTGTTTTAATTGGGGTAGCTAGATTGGATCATCAGTCATTGCGCAGGATGTTTTGCACATGAACCTGGTTTTTTAAGATTAATTTACATCAATGAGTTTGTATCTTTGCTTCATGTTGATTACAGCATTTTACCTAAATTCTACTTTATATGCATATATTAAATCGGAAATGTGACTGTATATTTCAATCAATTAAAAAAATGATTACGTTGTTGACTTAGTATACAGTTAATGTATTATGTTTCTGTTTGCATTTGAATACGTCTTTGTATTGCATATACATAGCTTAAGTTACGTAACAATGTTTAAACATTATTTTAAATTATCATAGAAAAACACGTTTTCTTCGAAAGTTTTATTTCCTTTAAAAGTGTTTATTAAATTATTTTTGAGATACTTTAGCTTGACAATTAAAGAATACTAGGACGAAACGGCCGTCCAGTGCTTCCAGGTTTTCAATGGTGGTCTAGCTTCAACTGACTCATGATTTCAACTTGTGAAATTAAAGAATAGTCTTTTGTTTTCGTGTCTGTTCAATAAATTTTTTGTTCCTTATTGTTAATTGGCATACTAAGTCTCATTAAATCTATCCAAGTCATTTTGTAAGCAGCTTTGTACATAACTTATATTTAAGTCATAGATACAATTTTACTTCGTTTACAATTAAAATAAAACAATTTATTGTATATTTTTGGTAAAAATAAGAGAATGAATGCGTTTATATTGAGTGGCAACTGGTCGTTTTTGTCACAGTTACTGAATATTCTTGTTACTATTTTCGTAACTTACTTTTTAAATATAATATTGTATTAGTAGATCTTTCAGCAACGTAGTCATTGACGTGTCAGCTATCATATTAAAGTCAGTGACTAAGTTACTTCCCCTTCCCATGACATATGGGATTGATTGTTGAATGGTTGTTTATTAAAGAAATATTGTTTATGCAATTTTACCACGAAGTTCAATAATAGCGAAGTTAGGGGGAAATGGTGATCATAATGTAGTCAAAGCAAACAATTCATCGGGATAGTTCGCTCTTCGGATTAATTTAGAGATAGTGCAATGCATACGCATGTTTTTACGTAAAAAGCTGCATGTTTGGGGATCTATAAGAGCAAAGTTCCTTTAGTGTTAGGTTTTTTGGTTACTTTATTTTTAAGCGTGACGATATTTTTAGCCGTCTTGATTATATTTTGTAAAGCTTAGCTAGCAAGGTTAAATTAAAACATGGCGTTGGTCCAGATGTTCACTAACTATTAATAGGAGTTATGTTGGTAGGTGCACGCGACTGTCATCTTGGAGTCCGTGCGATTGTCGTAGCCATTCGTATGAAACATCAGATGATATGATTCGGAATCTCTCTCTACATTTATTTTTAGTGTTCCATTAGATCTTGACTAACTGAATCTCTAAATTATTTTATACATTTTATTCCGCAAAATATGTTTCGAATCATATTACTACTACTACTACTACTACTACTACTACTACTACTACTACTACTACTACTACTACTACTACTACTACTACTACTACTACTACTACTACTACTACTACTACTACTACTACTACTACTACTACTACTACTACTACTACTACTACTACTACTACTACTACTACTACTACTACTACTACTACTACTACTACTACTACTACTACTACTACTACTACTACTACTACTACTACTACTACTACTACTACTACTACTACTACTACTACTACTACTACTACTACTACTACTACTACTACTACTACTACTACTACTACTACTACTACTACTACTACTACTACTACTACTACTACTACTACTACTACTACTACTACTACTACTACTACTACTACTACTACTACTACTACTACTACTACTACTACTACTACTACTACTACTACTACTACTACTACTACTACTACTACTACTACTACTACTACTACTACTACTACTACTACTACTACTACTACTACTACTACTACTACTACTACTACTACTACTACTACTACTACTACTACTACTACTACTACTACTACTACTACTACTACTACTACTACTACTACTACTACTACTACTACTACTACTACTACTACTACTACTACTACTACTACTACTACTACTACTACTACTACTACTACTACTACTACTACTACTACTACTACTACTACTACTACTACTACTACTACTACTACTACTACTACTACTACTACTACTACTACTACTACTACTACTACTACTACTACTACTACTACTACTACTACTACTACTACTACTACTACTACTACTACTACTACTACTACTACTACTACTACTACTACTACTACTACTACTACTACTACTACTACTACTACTACTACTACTACTACTACTACTACTACTACTACTACTACTACTACTACTACTACTACTACTACTACTACTACTACTACTACTACTACTACTACTACTACTACTACTACTACTACTACTACTACTACTACTACTACTACTACTACTACTACTACTACTACTACTACTACTACTACTACTACTACTACTACTACTACTACTACTACTACTACTACTACTACTACTACTACTACTACTACTACTACTACTACTACTACTACTACTACTACTACTACTACTACTACTACTACTACTACTACTACTACTACTACTACTACTACTACTACTACTACTACTACTACTACTACTACTACCACTACTACTACCACTACTACTACTACTACTACTACTACTACTACTACTACTACTACTACTACTACCACTACTACTACCACTACTACTACCACTACTACTACCACTACTACTACCACTACTACTACCACTACTACTACCACTACTACTACCACTACTACTACCACTACTACTACCACTACTACTACTACTACTACTACTACTACTACTACTACTACTACTACTACTACTACTACTACTACTACTACCTTGAA